GAACTAGATCATTTATGGTGATGTGATATAACCTCAAGAACTAACCTTAATAAACACTAATGCTGTGCCTTTCTCGGTGGCAAGCATTAATGGTGGCATCACTTGCAGAAGCCTCACCATCGCAGAAATTGTTGCTAACCTTATTGCTTCTTCTGCCCATCTGTTCTCTTGGCTCCTTCACCCTCCAGTTCCCTAGTTGCAGTTAGCTCTTTGTGCTAAGGTTTCAACTTGCTGCATCTCACATTTTCTTTGGGGCAGATTAGCTAATACCCAAGTATCATACATATTTTATTCAGGCTCCTGATGGTACAGGTATTGTCACAAGATAATTGGTCATTTAAAAATCTTAGCACACATTAGTTACATATGCATGATCCTTTTCACTAATGCAACTCTAATTTCATAGGCATCTGCATAGACAGTCTCACACTGAATAAAAATGACTACTCAATACCCCAAAAAACAAACAATCCAATTTAAAAAATGGGCAAAGGCCCTGAATAGACATTTCTCCAACGAGGACATATAGACGGCCAATAGACATATGAAAACATCTCAATATCACTAATCAACAGAGAAATGCAAGTTAAAAAAACACAGTGAGATATCACTTCACACCTGTCAGAATGGCTATGATCAATAAATGAACAAACAGCAAGTGTTGGCTAGGATTCAGAGAAAAGGGAACTTCGTGCACTATTGGAAATACAGATTGGTGCAGCCACTGTGGAAAGCAGTATGGAGTTACCTCAAAAAATTAAAAATGGAACTGCCTTTTGACCTCGCTATTCAACTTCTGGGAATTTATCTGAAGAAACCAGAAACACTACTTTGAAAGACTATATGTGCCCCTATGTTCATTGCAGCATTATTTACAATAGCCAAGATTTGAAAGCAGACCAAGCGTCCATCAGTAGATGAGCAGATAAAAAAAGCTGTGGTACATTTACACAATGGGAAATTACTTGACCATAAAAAAAAAAAAAAGGAAATTTTACCCTTTGCGACAGCATGGATGGACTTCGAGAGCATTATGCTAAGTTAAATAAGCCAGTCAGAGAAACACATATGATTTCATTCATATGTGGAATCTAAGGGAGGTATTGTAAATTTGAAGTAAGTATCAAATACAAGCAAAAACACATTTAAAGACATATATCATATGACTTGGAATTATAGGTTTTATCAGTTGACCCAACCATTTGTTTAGTGATGGAATTTCCTCTATTTATAATGCTGCTCCTAATCGATGACCCCCTGGCCTTTGTGTAAAAACTTCTAATAATTTATTCTATGTAAGGCAGCTTATTCCACCTCTGAAGGGCACTGTTTGAAAGCCTTTCTTAACATAAACCAAGATCTATTTCATCATAATTTCTAGTGACTAGTTCCTGCAATTCTTCCCTGAGAGCTATCCCTAATAATTTGTATTTTTTGATCACATAACCACCCTTTAAATATTTGAAGACAAGTGACAATTCTAGATAAAGCAGAGGAAATCTAATGATGTAAAACAAGGAGATACTTCATATTAATAGTTGGAAGGAAACAAAGGCATTAATTGACCAACCAAAAGAAAGGAAAGGAATGAAACTCAGCACAAGTAAAGGCAGATATACTCTGATACACTGGAACCAACGAATATGCAGTAGTTCTTAAATTCACAGAATGACCTTTAGGAAGAGAACCTGTGTGGAGCTCTGCAGAGCTAATTGGGATGTTGAAGGGAAAGCAAAAGCAATCAGGAGGTTAACAACTAGAGCAGAGTGATCATAGGGAGGCGGGGCTGCTGCTTTGGCGATGCAAGGCAGTTTTGTTCAACAAGAAGAGATGTGCTGTACAGTAGTCTCCCAACATGTAGAGGCAATTACATGATCACCCAATGAAGCCATAAGGCGGTGTTCCTTCCTCTTCTTAAAGCATGTATTATATGTGATTAGAGGCCCAGTGCACAAATTTGTGCATGGGTGGGGTCCCTTGGCCTGGAGGGCGATTGAGGCCTATGGGGGGCAGGCCAGTTGGGAGGAGGGGCTGCAGGAGGTTGGCTGGCTGTGCGAGCTTGGCTGTGGGAGTGCACTGACCACCAGGGGGCAGCTCCTGTGTTGAGCATTTGCCCCCTGGTGGTCAATGTGCATCATAACGACTAGTCAACCGGTCGTTCTGGTTGTTCCAGTCGTTCAGTCATAACGGTCACTTAGGCCTTTATATATATAGATGAGAACATATCCTCATAGGGAAAATAAAGGTACTGCACTTATATAATGACTATGCTGTCCTATACTGATATTCATGGTTGTCAAATACAGAATATACTGGCGGATAGAGGACTGACTAGAATGTTCCCCTTTGCCTGGGACATGTGGCAAGCATACGTTGGTGATGTACATTCTTTGTGTCACAACCAAGCTAGCCAGGCAATGTGACAGGCCACACCACTCCATATGTCTATATGTGTGACTTTTTTCTCCCTAAGGTGTCTTCTCAAGAACACTTTCTCTGTTTCCTTGACTTTGGCAGCCAGCAACTTTATACAACTTGAGTCTGCTTTATCCCTGGAAGTGGGCTGAGGGCTGGAAGAAACTAAGGACTTCTATTTTAAAGGAGGCCAGAGGTCCCCGAAGGACCTGAGAGTATTTAATTTAGGGTGTACTTAATAATAGGTGGTCTAGATGCTTATAGTAGAATGAATAATGGCCCCTCAGAGATGTTCACTCTTAAATGTAAATGTTACCTTATATGGCAAAAGGGACTTAGAAAATGTGGTTGAGAATCTTGAGATGAGGAGATTATTCTGGATTATCGTAAAAGTAATTGTAAAGAGATCAGAGGCAGTAGTAGGAAATTCGAGGAAGGAAGCGAGATATCTAAGGGGTGTGTCCATTAGACAAGGAATGCAGATAGCCTCGAGAAATGAGAAGAGGCAAGGAATGGCTTGCCCCCTGGAGCCTCCAGAAGAAACAAAGTCTTTCAACACCTTGGTTTTAGCCCAGTAAGACTCATTTTGGATTTCTGATTTCCAGAACGTAACCGACTGTAAGAGAATAAATTCGTGTTGTTTTAAGTTACTCAGTTCATGGTAATTTGTTACAGCAGCAATCAGAAACAAACACAGCATCTTGCATGTTTCTATCAATTTAACTTCTTCCTATAAATACAGAATAAGAGCATGCACTTCTCTCTCTATTCCCAGGGTGCTGTGAGAAGAAGGCAGGTTGGTGGAGTATACATTCACCCATGCAATATAGTACAAGAAACGAAATTGTATCCGTCAAGGTTCGTTAGTTGCAAGGATCAGAAAACAACTCTGACAGATTTAAGCAGAAAATCGATTTCCTGAGAGGCTCCTGGGAACATTACTGACTGTAGGATTGGAAAGCTCAGAACAAGGAAGCTAGGCATCAGCCGAGACCAGGCTAATAGGTGCCCCGATGCGCCCTGCTGGGAGGCTGCTGCTCTGGTGCTGACGCGGACTCTCATGGCACCAGACCCCTGGGCTGTCCCTGCTGTCTCAGGAAACCTAAGGTTTTTGCTGCTGTTGCCGTTCCCGTCACCAGAATGGAGTTTGCAAGGTTCCCGCATCTTTGAATCACCAACTCTTGTTCAAGTCTAAGTTTGGTAAATCTGATTGGTCAATTCTGGACCACATCTAGCACACCCCAGCTGCAAAAGAAGCTGGGAGATAAGCTTTCAGCTTCATCAGAGACATTGCTCTGTCTCTCACTAGGACTGATAAGATATGAATTCCCAAATTTATAAGAGTTTCAAATGATAGGTGGTTTTGAAAGTACAAATGATCATGACCTAAATGTTAAAGGAGATTGGTATAAAATGCACTAATACATGGGCAGAAAAATGACTATAAGAATAGAGTCAAATACATGCTATTTTTACATCATTTTTACAATACAAAATAATATGATATTTCGAGATGAAGGATCATATTAACCAGGCCCTCAACTTTCGACCAAAACAACTCTTTATGAGGACACTCATTACCTACTTCTCTCTTTCCTCCCTCCCTCCCTCCCTTCCTCCCTCCCTCCTTCCATTCTTCTCTTCTTTCCTCATTCTTTCCCTCCTCCCCACCCCCTTTCTCTTTCTCTATTTGCTGAAGTCAGAGCAGGGCTTTCTGTCCTTATCTTAAGTGACTTCTCTAGGTCTTTAAGGACATGGCCTCTGCCTACCTCTCCAGACTCATTACCTGGAGCCACGGGAAATAGTATTATCTTGGGTTTGTTCATAGGAAAATTATATCTGGTATATCCATGATTAAAACTCAAGTATGATACAAATTTTGATAAGTTGCACTCTATGAATCTTTCTGTTACAATCCAGAAAGTCTGGTTGCAAAGAATAGAAATTCATTAAAATTAGCTGAATTAAACTAGGAAAATATCGCAAGGATTCAGAGCTGCTTTGTGGGACTGAGCAGTCGGAGGTGCAGGTGGTCCTCAGGAGGCCCTGGGCAAGGAGCTGGACAGCCATGACCTGGTGCTTCTCTCTCCATCTCTCAAGGCTGTGAGGTCTCTCCTGTGGCTTCTCAAGCAGATCAGCTTCATTTTTGTTTTCTTTCTTCTTTTTAAAAAATACATTTTTATTCATTTTGGAGAGAAGTGGGAGAGAGAGAGAGAGAGAGAGAGAGAGAGAGAGAGAGAGAGACACCAATGATGAGAGAGAATCATTGATCAGCCGCCTCCTGCATGCCACACACTGGGGACAGAGCCTGAAACCCAGGCATGTGCCTTGACTAGGAATTGAACCCATGGCCTCCTGGTTCATCAGTCAATACTCAACCACTGAGCTACACCAGTTGGGCCTATTTTTGCTTTCTGTAGATTGCCTCCCTCTGCTTCTCAGTGTGCATGGACAGCTGAATTTGGATTCACATTCTCCATACATAGTGTCCTCAGTGTAAGACTTGAGCTCCTAAATTAATGTTTGACTTGTATTTCACTCTGGACATATTAATCTTTCTACTTGATTCCTTTTTCTTCCTTTTCTAAAATCTTACACCGTATCCTGGTTGATAAATGCATGCAGGTGTTCTTGTGACCTTGAGTTAGCTATCATCTCTTTTTCAGTTCATGTCTACTGCTCTCCATTTCTCTAAAGCACCCTCTTCTATACCCTTCACATATTTCTTCTCCTTTTATTTTTTAAACAATTCTTAAATTGTTTGTCCTCAATCCTCTTAATAAAATGTTCAAACTCTTATTCCAGTAGCCATAGCTTTTAAATAAAACCATCATGTATGTGGTCAATAAACACCTACTGAATGCATACTATATGTTGTGTGCTAGTAGGCTCTGGATCACAGAATGCATACAATTTACTTCTTGTCCTCCACCTTCTGGCATCATGATTTTTGGCTCAGACATTAGCAACATTATCACTATCATTTCATAGATGAGAAAATTAAGCTTGGAGAGTTTAAGTAATATTTGCCCAAGGTTCCATGGTTATAAGTGTAGAGACAGGATTCAAATTGAGGTCTGGATCCTCAGAATCCACATCAAATTCTTATGGAAGTCTGCATTCCTTTTGATTGGTGGAGAATTGGGTTAAACTGGTTTCTAGAAATTATTTGAACCCCAAAGTGATAAGTAAGATATTTTATTAGATTGGCATGTATATGGTAACCACAATGTGAATGGAAGGTAATAATTTTTGTTTTGTTTTGTTCTCAGAACTTGTATAAAGACAATTGCAAGAGAAATTCTAAAAATATGTTGACTACTGACAGCCTTCCTAGTTTTACAAGGTGAAGGAGATTCTAAATGATCACTTTATTTTTATTTTTTATATATTTTTTTCTTTATTGATTAAAGTATGAGATATGTGTCCTTATCCCCCCATTGTTCCCCCTGCCCCCCATTCATGCCCTCATCCCCCTGGTGTCTGTGTCCATTGGTTAGGCTTATATGCATGCATACAAATGCTTTGGTTGATAAATGATCACTTTAAAGTATATATACAAGTTTTTTTGGTATCAAAAAAGATGTCTTATCACTATACCATTAGTTTGGGAAGGTTTTAAGGAGAAATAAGACTCCATTATCCATCATTACCACCTTTGGCCAATTAGTTTATCATATTAATTTCTATCACTTAGGGAACCCAGGGAGCATGACAAGACAGATAAAGAGTTTTCAAATATTAAGCAAAAGGCATTCTGAAAAATAATAGGTTCTACCAGAAGTTGGACATAAATGTGCATTTGTGTAATTGGGCTAGTAAAAAGATTAAGATCTACAGAGTCTTAAAATATGTATTTCCTAAATTTTGATTTGGGCTTTAAATCAACCTTTCTTAGATGGCAATGTTCTTAATAGAAAGAAAAGGCGGTCAATCCTTTTGTAACACATAAAATTTACAAATCCTCATTGTTTGCTCACCACGTGATTCTTAAGGTGCTTTTCTGTCCCTTTGAAATCTTTCCGGATGATCATTTCAAATAAGATAAATGTGTCTCTCCATTCCTGTTTAAAAACACAGACAAATGCCATCTGTTCCTTGGGCTGTTCCAGGTACAGTGGCCTCCTATCGCTCTCCATCTGTCAGATGTACATTCATCTATGTTATCTGAGCTGCCAGTTGATTCTATGCTAGAAGACTGTGGCAACAATTTCCAGCATCTCATTTTATGTTTGTTAGATGTGGAATTTTTGATTTACAAATAAAATATAAAACTATAAAATGACAAATACAGTTTCCTAAGTTGACTTGGAAGATCATTTCAAAGGATTTCCAAAAACATTTGCAGCATCACTGCTATATGCTTAGCCTTTCAAGGTGAATAACATGGACGATGGCACTCATTTGAATGTTAAATTTTTAGTAAGTCAAACTTTTAAGAAGTAAATCTTTTATTTTATTGTCATAACCTACACAAGTAAATACCATAACTATATTAGGTAAAATTAAAGGTAGGTATTTAGGTAATAAAAAATTAGCATTGCTTCCCCTCACCCCCTTTCCAATATAAAGTAACTTTTATTTTGAATCTAGAGGCTTTTTCACACTCTGGGATGTTTGGTTTTATTGCTTAAATAATAATTTCTCCCCTTAGTTCTTCATTCTCTTTCTCAAATTTTTATTAATTGCATGTTTGATGTCATAAATTGATCTTCTAAAGTTTTAGACCTTCTCTATTTTCTTTCATATTTTCCACTCGTTTTAATTGCTCTGATTTCTGGGAGATGATCTCCATTTTATCATCTAATTCTCAGTTGAATTTTTATTTCAGTGATCATATTTTTAATTTTCATGTTCTTTTAAATTTACTCTTATTGCTCCCTTCTCATTGCAGAGCATTCTCTTTCAGTTATAGATGCAATATCCACACAAGTCTAAACTGCATTTATTCTAAAGCCAACTTTTCTCATTATTTATTACTAATAGACAAATGATGTCTTTCCTGTAATTCTGAATTGATAAAAGGATTGAAGGGAAACTTTAATGCCTCTATTTCGAGACAGAAATGTTGGACTTCATAAAGCTATTACTCATCAGCTGACAAGACTAATTCAGGCAGAGTGGAGAATGATGTATGCAAGGACCAACAACATATGACAGCTAGGATGTTGATTCAGTGGTGTGGTCAGGGAGACACCATCAGGATTTGTCATTGTCAAAATGGTAAGGATGCTGTATTTGTGTTGAGTGCTCTCCTAGTTCTCTTTCTCTTTCCTATTCTGTATTGGCATCATCCCAATTTTCTTCATTCCCAAGTAGATCACTGTTTTTACACTGTGCCCCCTCTGAGAACCTGCTAAGCCCTTTCTTTTCCTAAAGTTCATCTATTTTACCACTTTTCTTCTATTAAATCTGCTAATCTATAGCAAAAAACATAAAAATTAAGGGGTTAATTTGTGTTTTGATGTGAATTACTGATGGTCAAAGAGAGGACCTAAAAACTCAGTAAACGTTAATTGGCATAACTGAGAAAGGAGATCTTTTTGAGAGCCGTTCCAGGGCCTTTTGCATTTTCTAGACAGACTCTCAGAAGTCTGTGCCAAACACATTGAAACAGTAACCAGCAACTTAATGTGTTAATTCTGAAAGAGCTTTATTAATCCCTAAAGTGATTTGTAAATGCATTCATTTGCTATAAACCTCATACACTATATAGATAATCATAACCATACTCTGTTTTTAGGCAGATGAATATATCGGTCTTTCCATGTTTTTTAAGATCCAGGTACAAATTATATCAGTGTATGTGCTACTAGTAGAGTCTGCAGAGAAAAAGAGTTAACAGGGAGGCCATATACCTTATATCTTATTTCCTTCCTAAACACATCTAATGTCATTTTGACTACAACTTGATGTTCTTTCTAATATTGACTAAAGGAATGGACTAGCCAGAAGATAAATGAGGGTATTGCATGTGCTGTTATGTACTAATTACTCATGTAGGAATGCATTTTGAAGCTTATACCTCATTGCTCAGACAAATTTTCAGTATAGGGACCAGCGCTGCACTGAAGAAAGCTTGTTACATAACCAGAATGGAGCTCCATGACCAGCATGATAAACACGTGCACAGACTCCAAAACCAACAGGTTTCCTTTAGTGAAACTTGCCCTCAGTTACTCATTATCATGGAACCACAACATATCCCAGTGGGGGAAATGGACGCAGGCATCTGCCTGACAGTTCGAGGTCTCTGCTGTATTGATGTTGGATATGCCGCTTCACTTGTCATATCTTTTCCTAATTGTCAACAAAGCCTGGTGCTGGATAAGTTATTTTCAGACAGTCTATTTGATGTTCTCAGCCTGTGATCACATAGTCAGTGCAGGTACAAACGTCTATTCACAGTGTCTTTAAATAAAAATGTATTTAGGCAAACACACATCCCATACTGTAGTTGAATACAAGCACAAACATGAGTAATTTTTGTGTAAAGAATAAGAGCTTGGGAGTTAGACCTCAGCTTGAATTGCATTTTCATAATTAGCTAATGTGTACATTTTAGCAAGTTATTTGAATTTTAGTTTCCTCATCAGCAAGAAGCAGACATATTAGCAATCTTAAAAGACAATGGCAATCAAACAAGATAATTTACTGATGATACTTCAGTCTTATCTGCTAGTAGATTTTAAAAATACTGAATTTTCTCCTTCTGTTTATTCCTCACAGGTCACACTTGGAAAACAGTCTTTTCCGGTACAGCTGTTACAGCATTGCACATGCACATGTACATAAATATACCTAATTATGCACATTCTGACATAAACATATGTGCTTACATTTATTGAGGATGATTATGTGAGTATCTATATATATAAAAGTCTAAGAGACTGTCCGACCGTCTGCCTGTCTGACTGGTAGCTATGATGTGCAATGACCACCAGAGGGCGGATGCTCAATGCAGGAGCTGCCAAGCTGTGGTGACTTGGCAGCTGCGGTTCTCAGGTGACACAACTGGAACCAGAGAAGAGGGAGCCTGACTCCAGGGTGCATCACCTGAGAACCGCCCTCTCAAAATCCAGGACCCCTTGGGGGATGTTGGAGAGCTGGTTCCAGCCCAATCCCCACAGGCCAGGCTGAGGGACCCCACCGGTACATGAATCTGTGCACAGAGCCTCTAGTAATAATGATAACTGAATATGTAGAAAGATAGAAAAAGGAAGTTTTCTTTGCAATGTGAGAATCAACGATGAGCAGTAAAATCAAGTGTCAAAGGCTGACTATTCAATAAAGACTCAAGATTTTCTATTACAATACAGATGTCACCAGGCATGTGTTCTGAAGAGATAGATATAGGTTTTCATTTTGGAATTATTTTTAACCATGCAGTCTATCCATTTCCATACATAGCCTGTTTGTAGTTTATATGCTAATCTCATGCCTCTGTCTCTCTCTGTATAACCTGGGACAGCCCAGTGTCTGTAATGAGATTTGAAGTGCCTCTCATACAACTATAGTGCGGAGGTTTATAAATAAAGAAATGTGTTGGTTGCTAGTCACAAGAAAAAGGAAATGTCAGTAAAAGATGGAAAAAGTAGTTGTTGTTGGCGTTTTGAGAGTATTGGTGTTATTGATGTTTTTGAAAGGGTTGTCAAACAAATGAAACAACACTTCCAGAAATACATAAAGATAAAAATCATATTTATATATGATCTATATGGTATAAAGCTTAGTGGTAGAAGATATTTACAATTTTATATGTGTGCATATATTTAAATACTTAATTATTTCCAATGATAATTTTAGTCACATTGTGTGCATGAACTATTTTTCTCACAACTTCTTTTATTTACAAACTCCCTGTTTAAGTAACTTAATGAGGTATTGATTTTTACTGATATAGTAGGAATTACAGCTTGAGTCCAAACTATATTCATATTTGGGAAGCATGCAGATATGGACATTTCTGGAGAACTGACTGGTAGGATAATCATATGGAAGCCCACTTTTATGGATAATAATTCATCCTAAGAAGAAGGAATTGACTTAGTAAGAAAAGTTTAAGTGTGAATTTTTCTCTCTGTTACATCACATTACTTTGTAAGTTGGGCATTTTGAAGACTGCAGTGCAGTTCCTTTGGGGAGGACAATTGTTTAGAATGTGTCTTTGAAAACATGATATGAGCTACCAGGAAAGGCCTTCAGAGCGCATGTCAACTTGGCAGCACTAATGAAACAAAGGTTTGCATGGAGCACTGTGAGCAGACCTGGCTGGGCTGATGATGAATAATCCAGACTGTGGAAATCAATTTGAGCACACTCTTCAGGATCAATCTTCTCAACCCTTCTCAGAATTTTGAGAAGATTCAAAGCTTTTCAGTTAATTTTAGATATTAAAAAGAAAAATCAAGTGTAAATCAAGATTCTAATTTTACCTACAATTTAATTCTTGTCTCTTTTTCTTAGCTCAAGCCTAACCTAAGGCTTAAGAACAATATAGAGCTGTATTTCTTTCAAAATTCTAACCTAACAATCTGTTTTTCTCATAGGTGGATTTAATCTATTCACATATATTGAAGATAATGATTAAAATTGATGGTTAATGATATGGATTTATTTTTGAAAATTATTTTGTGATTTCTACTTTATATACATATACTAGAGGCCCAGTGCACGAATTCGTCACCAGTGGAGTCCCTCAGCCTGGCCTGTGTGATTAGGCCAAAACCAGCTTTCAGACATCTCCAGAGGGGTCCTGGATTGCAAGAGGGCCCAGGCCAGGCCGAGGGACCCCACGGGTGCACGATCGGAGGTTGGTCAGCTGGGGAGGGACCGCGGGAAGGCTCCAGGGCATGTGTGGCCCGTCTTGCTCAATCCTGATTGGCCGGACCCCAGCAGCAAAGCTAACTTACCAGTCGGAGCATCTGCCCCCTGGTGGTCAGTGCACATCATAGTGACTGGTCAACTGGTCGACTGTCTGCCCCCTAGTGGTCAGTGCACATCATAGTGAGCAGTTGAGTGGCCTTAGCATATCATTAGAATATTATGCTTTGATTGGTTGAATGGACAACCGGACGACCAGATGACCAGATGACCAGACACTTAGCATATTAGGCT